AACAATGTAGAACACAACTTAAAATCATTAAAAAAAAAAAAAAAAAAAGAAGGGAGAGAGACCAGGTTTACTGGTCTGATAGAGCCTGGTGAGACCCCTGAGACTATGGCCCTTCCTTATCCTTCAGATCTGGAACTGAACTCACTCCTGTGGCTTCCAGCCAAACAACAGAGAGGTATACAGGGTGAACATTTACATCAGGCAGATACATTGCTTAGAGCCATGAATTATCAGCAGTGGGAGAACAGGCCAGTGTTTGCACAGGGAGATGAGGGGGCAGGAATGCACTGGAAAGAAAGACACAAGGAAGAGGTAACTAAGGGAAGAAAGTGGGAGGAGAGCTGTTATACTGTGAGGAATTGCAGTCAACGACTTGAAACAAAACGTGCATGAACTACTATATGGAAAATGAATTTGCTCTGTCTGCGAACTTTCACCCAAATCACAATAGAACTGAAAAAAAAAAAGCCCTTGGCAATCCAAGATAACTTTAAAAAAAAAGAAAAGCCAGGCAATACTTGTAGTCAGATTCTGTCTAGTCAGTTCGGACTCATGTTGTTGTTGTTGTTATGTGCTGTTGAGCCAGATTTCACTCATAGCAACCCCTCCTTGGGTTTCTGAGGCGGTATCACCATGGAAGTAGATTGCCCAACACCCTATATTCAACAGAACAAAACACTAACTGGTGCTGCGCCATGCTCACAATCGTTGCTTTGTTTGAGCCCATTGTTACAGCTACTGTGTTGATCCAGCTCATTCTGAGGGTTTTCGTTTTCACTAACCCTCCATCTTACCAAGCATGATGCCCTTCTCCAGAGACATTAGGTCTCTCCTTACAACATGTTGAAAGTTCCTAAGACAAAATCTTGCCATCCTTGCTTCAAAGGAGCATTATCGCTGTACTTAAACAAATTTGCAAGTACTTGCAAATGAGATGGGAGCCCAAGGACCACACCTAATGAACTAACTTCAGGGGGGAAAAAGGAGGGAGGGGGATGAGCCATATATATTTAGTGATTCAATCAATCATTAACCATGTATTAAGGAGTCAGTCACTGAGGCCCCAAAACTACTATGAAGGATGCTGGACCTTGAATTTTCCTGATTGATGGGAATACCAGCACATTGTTGGGGACATGAAATTCCCTGCAGGAAACTACTCTCAGACCTTGAAACATGAGATGCCTATTAAACATGTAAGAGGACATACAAAATTGGAAAATAAAAAGAAAGAAGAAGGGTTTTTAAGAAGAATTATTCTGTTAAGGATGACCCTATCAATCTGCTGTGGCAAAGGCAGAATATTTTCAGCCATGCAAGGAATCAGTTTATTTGGTGCATACCTTTTTCTTAGAAAGATCTTTGAGAATGTACTCAGGCAAAAGGGAGAAAGACAAGAAAGAGAATGGCATGGGTTCCAAGAAACAGTTCTGAGGAAAAGAATTAAGGAAAGTCTAACAGTGTCACCTCTGCAGCTGATGGACAGAACCATCAACCTAAAGTGGAAGAGGGCTGTCTCCAGAAGTCTTGAAGTTAAAAAAAAAAAAAAAAAAGCGGGTGTGTGTGTGTGTGTGCACAGAGAAGAGGCTCTGTGATTGGAAGGTTAAAAAAGGTGTAGGTGAGTTGGAATAGACTCCATGACAGTGGGGTGGCTATTCCATCTGGTATGTTCCATGTGTATAGTTGCTGTTCATGTTGTTATTAAAAGGTATTTCCAATGGGGGGAGGGAGTTAAAGGCACTCTATTCTTTTCAACTTAAAAAGTCCACAAGAAAATTCCAGATAAATGAAAAATCTGCACAAGTCATACAACAAATTAAAATGTTAAATGATTGTATAGATCAACAGAGTATAAAAATGGAGAATCCGTGTGATCTGAATGGTACCACTTTCCTTCAAGAGCCCAGGGAAAATCACAGTGGATTTTGCTTTTCATCAAGAACTCTATTTTATTTGTCACCTGTCACAAGTATTAATTCGCTAAATATTAAGGAAAAAATAAAATGTATTTTACACATTCAAAAACAGGAGAGGACTATCCATAGCAAAAAGACAAAAGAAATAACATTAAAGATATACTTAATCATTACCAAACCTATTGCCATCGAGTGGATTCTGACTCATGGTGGCCCATACAGGGGAAAGAACTATCCCATTGGGTTTCCAAGGCTGTAAATCTTTTCGGAAGCAGACAGCCACGTGTTTCTCCCGTGGAGCCGCCGATGGGTTCCAAGCGCTGATCTTTCGGTTAGCGCCGAGCGCTAAATCACTGCGCCACCAGGCCTCCTTATTTAAGCATCCCTATCAAACCCACCAACCATTTCTCGGAAGGAAGACTGGGCAATCTACATCTGTAGAGATACCGCCTGGGAAACCCAAGGAGGGGTCGCTATGAGTTGGATTGGACTCGACAGCAGTGAAACACCGGCTGACAATGGTTGCGACCATGGGCTCAGGTATAGCAAGGATTGTGAGGCCGACACAGGACCCGACAGTGTTTCGTTCTATTGTACACCGGGGTCGCTGTGAGT